GGTAAAGGGCTCGTTTTTATTACGTTACAAAGGGTTTTTGCAGATCCATAAAAAGACGAACAACCTGATTGAAAACCAGGCAGAGCTCATGAGGGGAATGCAGGAGGAAGTGTAAATGATCGATAAACACAAAAATACACTTCCTCTCATCATTAAATCCATAGAAGGTAGGAAAATGAGCGTGGATTTGGCAAAGATTCTCAAAGACGTGGCCATAATACCCAGTGTGGCCAGAGTGTGGAGAAAGTGGCGGAGGGGTTGGTGGATGGACAACTCGCTATTGTGTGTCCGTGATCTTTGAATTTCTCGTAACAAGTACATACACTTAAAAGCAGCGATAAAGGGGCGCCTGGGTGGCGCAGTCGGTTAAGCGTCCGACTTCAGCCAGGTCACGATCTCGCGGTCCATGAGTTCGAGCCCCGCGTCGGGCTCTGGGCTGATGGCTCAGAGCCTGGAGCCTGTTTCCGATTCTGTGTCTCCCTCTCTCTCTGCCCCTCCCCCGTTCATGCTCTGTCTCTCTCTGTCCCAAAAAAATAAATAAACGTTAAAAAAAAAAAAAAAATTTAAAAAAAAAAAAAAAAAAAAAAAGCAGCGATAAAAACTATATTTCCGAGGGGAGCCTGGGTGGTTCAGTCGGTTAAGCGTCCGACTCTTGATTTTAGCTCAGGTCACGATCTCGCGGTTCGCAGTTCGAGCCCCGTGTCGGGCTCTGCGCTGAAATCACAGAGCCTGCCTGGGATTCTCTCTGTCTGCCTCTCTCTCTCTGCCCCTTCCCGGCCTGCTCTCTCACGCAAAAAATAAATAAACATTTTTTAAAAATGTTGTTTAATCATGTTATAAGAGGATATAAGAATATTTCCGATTAATTGTAAACATGCTTGCACGTAGCACGTCCCAGCAAATCAAGTGACCCTGTTGAAATCTCACTTCTTGTGCTTTCTGATTCTATAATCAAGGGCAAATCAACTAACCTCTCAGCCTGTTTCCTCATATATAGAATACGAATAGCAGTAATACCTCAAATACCTTAGCACGAAATTAAACGAAGAGCATATGGAAATGAATGGTCAAGGAAACACTCCGTAAATAACAGCCACTCTTGTCATCATCATCAAGAAATAAATAGTAATATGTTCTCGCACTTGAAGCTGCTGTCTGTCCGTGAATGACACCTGAAACCACCTAAACATGTAGGGAACCATGATCAGAGACAGAACACGTGAAGTAGTGTTCGCAGGTTGCTCTTCGAGGTGTATTATACTTTCTTGTAGAGAAAGGCAGGTTAGTAGGATGGAAAAGGAAGTCGTCTGGCGCTTTTCAGAGAACAGCCTTGAAGGTGAGCTTCTAAAAGTTATATCCTGGTGGAGGTCAGGTTCGAGTGATGTTTCTTTGTAGTCCCTGCCACCCTGCAACCTGGCACCGTCTCTTGTTTTCATCCTGAACCCCAGGCCTCGTTTTCTGTGTCCCCTTCCTAATCTTAGCGCTTTCCCCTGCACAGGAAATATTGGGGGACGAAGGTCCTGATGCTTTCCACAGATTTGAACGTATAACTGAGCCTACGGTGTAGGTCTGGGTACCCAGATTGCTGCAGCCTTAAGTGACCCTCCTGCCTTTCATGTTTGGATGTAACTCTGGGTAGAGAACACGAGACTTGACATCCTCCAGTCTTGCCTTGTGACCTGATCGGTCTCTTACGGTATTGATCCGTCTCGTTCGTTCCTTTCAGGTAGCACTTGTTAATTTCTGAATCTGCCAGATCATCCCTAGAACAGGAAGGAGAGTGGGGAGATCAGTACCAGCTTAGTAAGAATTGCCATGGTCTGTTTTTTTTAAAAGCTTATTGATCATGATCATGTATTCTCCAAACTAGCTTTCCCAATTCTGTAGTTAAACATCATAGTTATCCTTTTTTTTTTTTTTTTATTAATCTGGCTAATTAATTGATGTGTGGTGGGTTTTTCTTTTTTTTTTTACTATTTATTTTTAGACAACTATAAATACACGTGCAGTTGCAACAAATAATAGAGATCCCGCAAGCCCTTTACCGAGTTTCCCCTAGTGGAAACTCAGTAAACTGAGTTTCCTACTTGCTAAACTGTGCTCCCACATCCCGGCCAGGGTGCTGACGTTGACACAGTTGAGCTGCAGAACATTCCTATCACAAGGATCCTTCATGTCGCCCTTCTGAAGCCAAACGCATTTCCCTCCTGCTCCCCTCACCCTCTGTTACTAATCTGTTCTCTGTTCCCATGATCTTGAAGAATGTTAAATACGTAGAATCATGCAGTATGTGACCTTTGGGGATTGGCTCTTTTCCCTCTGCATAATTCACCCACCTTGCTATATGTACGTATCAGTAGTTCATTTCTCCTTGCTGGCTGTGTTTGTTTCCTGTGGTGTGGGCATACCACACTGCTTAACTGTTCATCCGCTGGGGGACACCTGGGTTGTTGCTAGTTTTTGACTATGAGGAATAAAGCTGTTGTGGATATCCACGGGTAGGTTTTGGTGTGAACATAAGTTTTCATTCTCTGGGATAGATGTCCGTGAGCATAATTGTTCGGTAGGACGGTAGTTGCATATTGAGTTTTTCTAAGAAACTGCTCTTTTCCGGAGTGGCTACACCACTTTACGTTCTCCCCAGCAGTGTTTGAAGAGTCTGCTTCCTTGACATCCTTGTCAGCATTTGGTGTTGCCATTACTTTATTTTGGCCATTGTGATAGGTTTATAATGAAATCTCATCGTGGTTTTCATTTGCTTTTCCTTAATCGCTAATGATGTTGGCAATCTTTTCATGTGTTTATGGACCATTTGCATATCCTCTTTGGTGAAATGTCTCTTCAAGCCTACTGCCTATTTTCTGAATAGATTTTGTTTTTCCTGTTGGGTTTTGGGAATTCTTTGCATATTCTCTATATACCTGTCCTTGGTCAAAAGGTTTGCAAAGGTTTTCAAATATTTTTCTCCTGGTCTTTAGCTTGCCTTTTCAGCCTCTTTTAACAGGACCTTTCACAGAACAAAAATATTTAATTTTAATGAAATCCGACTTACCATTTTCTCCTTTTATGGATTATACTTTTGATGTTAGGTATAAAAACTCTGTATCTAATGCTAGATCCCTAAGATTTTTCTCCCATTTTTTCCCCCGAAAGTTATAGTTGGGTGTTTTACCTTGGAGTCTGTAATTCATTTTGAGTTAATTTTTATAGAAGGTATGAAATTTAGGTCAGGGCTCTTTTTTTTTTTTTTTTTTTTTTGGTCTATGTCCAGTTTACGCCATTTGTCAAAAAGATTGTTCCTGCACCGAGTTGCTTTTGTGAGTTCGTCAACAATCAGTTGCATGTATTCATGTGGATGCTCATCAGCCCTGGGTGCTCATTCTGTCTCACTGGTCTGCATGTTTGTCCCTTCGACAATACCGCACAGTCTTGGACACTGTAGCTATTTGATGCATCCTGAAGTCCGGCTGACTCATCCCAATTTGCTATTCTTTTTAAAAAATTATTTTAGCTCTTCTGGTTTCTTTGGCTTAACATTATACATTTTACAATATCCCTATCTATAGCAACAAAAAAAGTCTTGCTAGAATTTTAATAAAAATTGTGTCAAACCTATGTACAGACTTGAGAAAAATTTATGTTCTTACTGAGCCTTCCTAACTGTAAATACGGTACATCTTTCCATTTTGTTAGATATTCTTTGATTTTTTTTTTCCCTTCAGCGTTATAGTTTTCAACATACATGTTTTGTTAGTCCTATACATGTTTTGTTAGATTGACACATATGTATTTCAGTTTTTGAGTGATTGTAAATGGTATTATATTTCTAATTTCAGTGGCCACGAGTTCAAAGTTAGTGTATAGAATTACAATTGACTTTTTCATGTTAATCTTATAGCCTGTCCGTGGTGTTGCCAAACTCATTTATTAGTTCCAGGCGTTTTTTTGTAGATTCCGTGGGATTTTTTTCTGCATAACAACAATGTCATCTGGAAATAAGGACAGTTTTAGTTCTTGTGTGTGTGTGTGTGTGTGTGTGTGTGTGTGTGTGTGTGTGTCTTTTATTTCCATTCTTCCTTTATTGCAGTGGCTAGAACTTCCAGTACTATGTTCAGTACTGAGAGTGGGCAACTTTGCTCATGCACAGTCTTAGAGAGAAAGCATTCGCTGCTTATAACATTGAGTCTACTGTTAGGTATAAAGCTGATCTGTGTGTAGTGAGCTGTTATAAATACTCTTTGCGGGAAAGGAGCAGTCTCCTGATTTGATGAACCGTCCCCTTTGGAGGCACTTCCCCTGCTGGAGATAGATTCAGGCAAGTGGTTTGCTACAGTGAAGTGTAAGGAATGAAGACCTTAAAATCCGGACTCAGAACACGCAGATTTAAATTTTGGCTCCCCTGTGTTGGAGCTAGATGGCCTGGGCAAATTATTTACACCTCTCAAAGGCCAATTCCTCCTCCACAAAAAAGGGAGAAGAGCACCCTCCTCCGTCCTGCCTCCGGGAGTGCAGGCATCCAGGGGAGTAATTGGATCACTGCCAGGGGCAGCCCTGCCCACACTGTAGGAGCTGGAAAACTGCCCCAGTTTAGTGAGATCTTCACTGTACCCTGCTGTGGCCCCACCCCAGCACCTTAATTGGTCTCTGTGGAAGTTTTGACAGTTTCTGATAGGTCGTTAAAATTTGCATTTGGAATCTTAAACTATAAGACTAGCGGATCTGGGGGTGTTGACTGTCCCAAGAGCAGACAACTGAGTCCGTTTCGTGGGCAGATCACGTAATCCCCCGATTCACGGTCAGTGTCATCATCTGTAAAATGGAAGTGAAGACAGAGTTGCTTCAGCGGGCTGCTGCGAAGACTGAGTGAGTTTACGTAACATTGTTAGCATGACACGTTAGCTGTGATCGTTACTGTCGGTGACTGTAAAAAAGGACACATACTTACTTGTGAATCACCTTTCTTAAAAAAAAAATTGTTTGCTTTGCAGATTTTTAAAAAAATGGATTTGGCCAACCATGGACTTATTCTCCTGCAACAGTTAAACGCTCAGCGAGAGTTTGGTTTCCTGTGTGACTGCACGGTTGCCATCGGCGATGTGTACTTCAAGGCACACAAATCAGTTCTTGCTTCATTCTCCAATTACTTTAAGATGTTGTTTGTCCATCAGACCAGGTAACTAACGTGGTTGATAATAATCTAATGACTGTAGACGCTGAACTTCCATGGCCCTCTTTCCCTCTGAACCTGCTCTTTGCCCATCCAGACCATGGGTCTCACCTCCTCTCCCTGGAATCCTAGGCTCCCAGGCTCCCAGTTTTCCCTCGTGACCTCACTTGCCAACCTTGCTCATCTTGGGTTACTCATGCTTTCAGTAGCCATTGAGAATCCCTGACCGGCAAGCCCTCAGCAGCGCGCCCCCCACCCCTGCCACCCCACCCCCACCCCCACCCCCACCCCAGCTCCCCGGACCCTGGCTGGGTGTCCCCTGCACAGCAGGATCGACAGCGGCCTCCTGGATCCCTTTCTCCCACTCCTCTGGCCCCCCACCCCCACCCCCGAGTCTCCCCCCACACACCCCTGCGTACCCCCCCTACCCCATGCCTTTCCCAATCTTTATCCTGGTCTGCCAGTCTAATGGGAAGCTTGAGGGCATGAATTCCCCAGCTTCCTTCTTTTTTTTCTTAAAACATCTCAATCTCCCTCCGTATCTCTGCTTGGTTTTTCCTTCCCATCTCTCCTGCCTCAGAGAAGAGGACCCTGGATGTCCAAGGAAAAGGGATCTTCCTCCAAGCGTCGTGCTACCAGATCCCGCCTCTTACTTTTTTGTTCTGTACTTTTCACCACGCGCTCTCTCCCCACGTTCGAGTCCCCGAAGGATCCACGCCCCCGACACCCAGTGGTGGCGTCTACTTGACTTACAGGACAGTTTCTCCTTTATTTCACTGTGGAAGTAAGTGTTCAGAGGGCGAACCGCAGCCTAGCTCGTGCGCCCCCCACCCCTCGTCCCCGCCGCCACCGCCGTGTCTGCCCCGTCTCTACCGAAATCATTTGTCAAACGTCACCTCTTGATCAAAACCACGGCTCTTCTCTCAGCCTCTGGCATCTCAGCCTCAGTCCTAGGCAGCGTTTGCTGCCTACTGTTTTCTTCCTCTCAGGGTTGCTCTCTGCGCTTTGACAATGCAGAACGTCCCGTTCTCCTGCCCTCTGGGAGCTGTGCTGAGTTTTGGTCTCGGGCCCTCCACGCTTCTTTCCGTACGCACTCTACCCCGAGGGGAGCCGCTGGTGCTCCTGGATTTTGCCTCTGCTGGAAACCACCAGTTTACAGCTCTGGCCTTGGCCTTTCTCTGTGTCCTCCGGAACTCTGCTTCTCAAGGCCGTGAGGCTGGCCGCTCGTGGGCTTGAATGGAGTTACGTGCCGGTCCGAAGCGCAGTTAGGCCTTTTCTGGGTCGTTCCCTGACCTCCCTGTTGATCTCCAGGTGACCTGTTCTTCAGATCGCTCTAAAACCCTATCCTCTGGTCCCCTGAGCCATGTTTCCTTCACACCCCTTTTGCATTAGTCCTTTCCTTCCCCTTCTCACTTCCTTCCATTTCCTAATCATTTTCCACGACTGTGAGATTAATATTTCTGAACAGTGCTTTGACTACAGGACGCCTTGGATCAGAAATCCCCTCCGTGGTGTTACTCCTTTGATCACAAACCTGCAGGATCGCCTCCACACATCAAAACGGCACACACATTCCTTGTTCTCTCTCAAGGCCCCTCAGGCTGGCAGCCTGACCTCCAAGGCCCCTTGGGACTGCCCCTCCCACCAGGCCACTCCACTCCATCAGCCCAGCCCCCCCCCATCCAAAGTGATCAAAAGCCACTTCTTTCCTCTCCCACATCTCCTATCACTTTATTTTTGCCCGTTACAAGATCCACGCATTTTCCCCGTGTTGTTCTTTGCGTATTTCTCTCCCCTCCTCTTTTGTAAGTTTATTGAGGGCAGAGACTGGGTTTTACAAATCTTTTTGAAAGCCCCAGTGTATAGGTCCGGTATTTGTCCATAATAGCCACTTGTTAAATGTCTGGGGGAGCAGAATGGGGAAACAATAGGAATAATGGCAAGCAGAGGTTGCTTTATCTCAGGCACTAAGGATGTTCCCTTTTAAGGACGTGGAGACTTCATAACTAACGGGTACTTAGAAGTCTCCACACAATGAATGAAACGGTCTTGAAAGGAGGAAGATTTTCATTTGGGGGAGTAAAAGAATACAATATAATGAGTTTTAAATAGATGCAAGAAACTTAAATGTAGGGCAATTAAATGCCTTTGTAACAAGGAAATGTGGGATCTGTGTGGATAGGAGTCCCAAATGTAAGCAATCAAGTGTTGTTGTTGGAGGAGGCACGCGACATTTCTCATGGACACCAAGCAAACCCTGGTCGAAGGCCAGAGGCACGCTTTTAAACCAAGGCGTTTTTTGCAAGGTTGCTCTGAACAGCCACCTGACTACCCAAAAGGTGGACTGAGAATACGGTTTTTTGCACGCTTGGTTTAATCGTGTTTTAATGCCGGTAAGAACCACTAGCTATATCTCTGTCTCGTGTGCAGCACTCTGGGAAGTTTTAAATCTTGTAGAACTACAAACATAGAGCTCCCAAAAGTAAAACCGCAGAGGGGCAAGTTTTGCTAAGCACAACCTCCTGATGAGGTCGGACACTATTTAAAATTCCTTATTTCCAAAGTTCATTAAGCCCATCTTTTACTTTGATATTCTAGTAAAGGAAAAATTAAAACTGAATTACGGTGAAAGTTTGCATGAAGGGCTCGTAGCTGTGCTAAAACTATGTTTTTCCCATAAAAGTGTTGTCTCAAGCAGACATCTGCAGATCAAACCACATAGGTGTAATTATCTTGTGGAGAGCTATGTCCTTCCAGAAGGACTTGGAAATGACTGAAGTCTGGCCCATAGCAAGCTGAGAGGTCTAGCTGCCTGGAAGGGAAAGCAGTCAGAGAGATGGCTGCAGTGTGACCTAAGGAGCTTTTTTAAATAACTTTTTTTAAGGGTCTCCATGTGTATATGTGTGCATGTGTACTTTTGCTTCAAGAAAAAAAAGTCAAGAAATGAAGAGAGCTGGTTTCTGGGAACCTCCCTGGGCGCCGCATGAACTCCCAGAGATTCCCCGCCTCCCTCTCCCTGGTGCGTCCTCACCAGCCCAGTGGGCCACTTTGGGGCCCTTCTCCCTCCGGCCTGGCTGGGTCTCCCAGCCCCATTTCTTCCTTGCCTTCAGAGACTGCACACAATTCTTTAAAATCTGAGCTCTGCTGAGTCACCACCCTTTGTGGCACTAGACAGAGGACAACCTGTACAATAACAAATGAGGGGAAATGACAAAACTTGTAACAAAATTTTGATGGAAAGAGGCCCTGCTTGGTAGTTCCCGCTCACAGATGCTGCCCCGTTTGGATTTCTGCCCTTTCCTTTTCTTTTTGGGAAGCCACGGGTCCCTTCCTTCTGCCTGGAGGAACATTCCATCCTGGCAGAACAAGGGTGCCCTATAGTCTCCTGGGAGTACTTTGTACTCTAAAGGCCTATGGTTTCCCCGTTCTCGATTTCTTTCGGAGGGGATTGTTTGCATGACTGAAGTATTCCCCACACATGATCCCTGTAGCTTTGTTTTGAATATTGAACTTCCCTAGAGCACCTAAAGGCATCCCAGTATACACCCAGTATTGTTGGCAGTCGCCCTGTGCTTAAAGGGAAGACCGCCTGTGTTTGCATTCCTATTTAAAGGAAGATAAATAAAGCACTATAAAAGACTCCAAAGGAAGATGAGTGAGTGATCTGTGTGTCTTTTTAAAAAATAGAATCACATAAGCTCTGTTCTTTCTGCTGCTAAAGTGCTGCCACTTTTTATTCTTTGACTTTTCATACTTTGTAGTCAGAGGTTTTTCACATGACTATTGTATGCATTCATCTTGAAATATACACACGTTGATAGCAAAACAGCAATTATTCAAATCTGTTGTGTCATAAATTGCTATTACAGTCACCTTTAAAAAAATAGAATAAAATGTCAAATTTGGAAGAGCAAGGTATACTGTTATTATTTTAGCATGTTGGAAAATATTTATTATTAAGATAAACAGCTAAAGGAGACAAAAAGTTATAATAGTAAGTGGTATAGTAAAAAAAAAAAATGATTAGGGGTGCCCAGGTGGCTTAGTTGGTTAAGCGTCTGACTCTTGACCTCACTCAGGTCTTGAGCTCAGGGTCATGAGCTCAAGCCCCGTGATGGGCTGTGCGCTGGACTTGAAGGTTACTTAAAAAAAAAAAAAAAAAAAAAAAAAAACAGATTATAAATTTCTAAAGGCATTCAGGGAAGCTGCCTTTGAAGTTGAAAATGCATTATCTATATTGTCTGTAGAATATAATTCACTGAGTGGATGATAGCACATACCTCATAATATATAGATAGATATCATTGCTTTCTAATGATGCATTCGAATTTCTGTCATTACTGATGGTTTAGGAAGAGTTCTTTGGGACTTGAGTATAGTTGCTTGACCAGAATGATGTTTCTGGAATGAGGCAAACACGAACGTCTAAAAGTTAGAAAATCAGCAATGCCACTATCTGCTTTAGGTGTCTCAGATAAATCACCTAACTTTTGGTGATCTCAGGTTCCAGATCTGTCAAATGGGAATAATCAGATCTGCCTTAAATGCCACATAGGATTGTTTTCATGCTCTACACAATTTTGGTGTCACGGGTTTGGAATTAGACCAAGATTTAGTTAGACCCTCTTACTAACTGTGTGGTTTTGAGCAAAGTAGGAATCTCTTTGAGCCTCAGTTCCTCATCCGTAAAATGAGAATTAATGGCAACTTAATGAGATAATGCCCGTGAAGCCCAGTTGTAATTCTGGTGATGGTGATGTTTTGGTAAGTTGTCCCGGAACTGTTTTGTGATGCAATCTAGCAATACTGGGAAGGTGATCCGGCCCCAGTAGAGCTAGAATGTACCTCCATCTCTTAACGGTGCTTCCTCCTCCATGCTGGAGGGAGATCAGGGAGCTGCAGAGCACAGAGTCATGTTTTCTTTTTCTTTCACTTTTGTTGCATTGCTCTCAGGCACTGGTTCATTCTAGCCCAGGTCCGCACACCCCCCCCCCCCACCCCCCATGTCATTTTACAAATGAAGAAACTTTCTTATCGGGTAGATTGCTTGATTTACTTTGAAAGATCACCTGCTGAGCTCTGGATGGCACTGGGTCAATAGAAGATGCCAAGACTTTTAGCCAAAGATCTCCTAGAGTCCTACATAAAAATATAGTGTGATATGATAGAAATGTATATAGATTATGAGGAGAAAAACTTCTTCAAGAGTCTAGGGGCTAAGATGTCATATTTCTTTAACGTGAACTTTTTGGTTCCCAGTCCTCGAAAATCTATTTATCGTATTTCTCTCTGTTCTTAATATAATTAAATTACATAGGTGCCAGTTATCTCCCTTGAGTATTCCATTTCACGAAACACTAACAGTAAGAAATGGGGAATGTTCTCGTTTCATTTGCCCTTTTTTTTTTTTCTCCAGAGTTCATGTTATCATTGGAGACGCGAGTTGACATTTCCTTACAAATTGTTCACTTGTTTCTTTCAGTGAGTGTGTCCGTTTGAAACCAACTGACATACAGCCAGATATTTTCAGCTATCTCTTACATCTGATGTACACGGGAAAGATGGCGCCTCAACTGATTGATCCCGTTCGGTTAGAACAGGGGATCAAGTTTCTGCACGCTTACCCACTGATCCAAGAAGCTAGCCTGGCCAGCCAAGGAGCCTTTTCTCATCCCGACCAAGTTTTCCCGCTGGCCTCTTCCTTGTACGGCATTCAGATTGCAGACCATCAGCTGAGACAAGCCACCAAGATCGCTTCGGCACCCGAGAAACTCGGGCGAGACCCACGGCCTCAGACCTCCAGGATGAGCCAGGAGCAGGTGCCCGAGGCCCCACCGCTGTCTCAGCTGACGACCAATCTGGCCCAGGTGAATCGGACACATCTGACTCCCTCGGACCCCCTGCAGACCTCGCTGTCTCCAGAACTCGTTTCCACTCCCGTGCCTCCCCCTCCCCCTGGGGAGGAGACCAATCTGGAAGCCTCTTCGTCCGACGAACAGCCCGCATCCCTCACCATAGCCCACGTCAAGCCGAGCATCATGAAGAGGAACGGAAGCTTTCCCAAGTACTACGCCTGCCACCTGTGCGGCCGGCGCTTCACCCTCCGCAGCAGTTTGCGGGAACACCTGCAGATTCACACCGGCGTACCTTTCACGTCCAGCCAGCCGGGAGAAAGCCGCGTGCCCCTGTCTCTTTGTAGCAACGCAGCCGACCTGGGCAAAGACACCATGGAAGTGCCTGAGGCTGGGATGATAAGTGACAGTGAGCTGCAGCACATCTCCGACTCTCCCATCATCGACGGGCAGCAGCACTCGGAGACGCCCCCGCCCTCGGACATCGCGGACATTGACAACTTGGAGCAGGCGGACCAAGAGAGGGAGGTAAAGAGACGCAAGTACGAGTGCACGATATGCGGCCGAAAGTTTATCCAGAAGAGCCACTGGAGGGAGCACATGTACATACACACCGGGAAGCCTTTCAAATGCAGCACTTGCGACAAGAGTTTTTGCAGGGCCAACCAGGCCGCCCGGCACGTATGCCTCAATCAGAGCATCGACACGTACACCATGGTGGACAAACAGACTCTGGAACTCTGCACGTTTGAGGAAGGGAGTCAGATGGACAACATGTTGGTACAGACCAACAAACCCTACAAATGCAACTTGTGTGACAAAACGTTCTCCACTCCCAATGAGGTTGTTAAACATTCGTGCCAAAACCAGAACTCGGACGTTTTCGCCCTGGACGAGGGGCGGTCCATTCTGCTGGGCAGTGGGGACGCAGAAGTAACGGAACCTGACCACCCAGTGTTAGCTTCCATCAAAAAGGAACAGGAAACAGTGTTGTTAGACTGAATGTTACCTATCTTTTTAAAAACTGTCGTTTTTACAGAGACTGTCTCCTTTCCCTTGCCCCAATTCAGAACTGTAGTTCTCCATGGCATGATACAAACAGGTCCCTGGTCCCTTTGTCCACCTCACCCCCTCCTCCCCAACCCCAGCCCTTCCTCCGTAAAGGCTTTGTGCATTATAAACCTGGAACATGTTTACTTTAATTCAGGGGATATTGGAAAGATAATGGTCAGTAGTACTTATAAACTCAAATAGATTTTGAGACGTTTTAGATGATTTAAAAGCAAACTTGGAACTAATGAAGGGTCGGTCTGTTAACAAAACACAACGACTAGAATGCAATTTGGTAAGCTAGAATTATGACTTTCCCCGGGTAAGAAGTCTTCCTTCTCAGAAAGTGTTGGAAAATACAGCATGCTTCTTAGAGATACAGCTGGGCTGTGTACTATGCAAAATCTAGGTGTGGGGGAGACTTTTAACCCAAGAAAACACTCTCAGTATTTATTCTCCAGGTGTCTTATTTCAGAATGCATCCTTTGAGATTATGTCCAGTCAAGAAAAATCATTAGCTAAGAAATCTACTTGAACAGAACACAAGAGAGAAAAAGTAATAATGTGATGGCAATCTTAATTTTTGGATAGGACATGACAAAGCTGTGAGTTGTGTGTGTTTGTAAGAGAAAATGTGTGGGTATTTGCTATAAACAGGTGAATTAATGCACATGCCTTAGCTAATTGCTGGCTTCTTTCAAAGTTGAACAGTAACAAAACTCTCTGTTTCAGTTTCTGACAAATCTGTCGGTTGTTTTAAAAATCAGATTTGAAAGTCCTGTGCAGTAGATTGTCTTTCTGAATAGAAAATGACACGCTATTCCAGCAGTTGCCAGTGTTAAATCTGTTTTAGCACCAACCAGCTGCTTCAAATCAGTGTGTGCACGTAGGAACGTGGATCCTAGAGGGGAAGTTGTGAGCAAAGCATGTGGTGACTTTAGTGACTTTAAAAGTTAATGCTAATAGTTTACTGGCAACATTTGTTGAAGCATCAAAAATGGCAAAGAAAAATCAGGACAAAAACGCCTAATTGCTGATTGGAAAAAACAAAAAAAAACCCAAAAAACAACTTGATTTTGATGTTAGTCTCCACTTTTTTTTTTTTTTTTTTTAAACACCTGAAATTTCCTCCATTGGCCTGAAAGCAGTAAACTGTGTCCACGAACCTTTCCTTACGCCAATGACAGAATGGTCTCACAGGACTAAACAGGAGCCAGAAATAAGGACCGAAGGGGAAAGGGAAAAACAGTTCATAGCTGTGCTGTACGTATATGTTAAAAACTGAATATCCCGTCATCCTGTTTCATGTATAGTTGAGTTCGCAGATTTGTAAGTTTTTATACATACTTTCATGGAATAAACATTTAATTAAGTGAGTATTTTATCTGTGTATCAGTTCGTCTGCCCAAAAAGCAGGAGAAGTAGAGACCAAGGCCTCTCTTTGCTGCCTCTCTCTGTCCATCTGCAGAACCGTGGGCGGGTCCCCTAACTTGAGCAGCATTTTCGACATCTGTAAAACGAAGACAGTGGCAATTGTGGATCGTCATATTGTGGGAATCAAATAAGTCAACTGTATCCAAAAATGCTATGGACAGTCCAACTTTGGCCAGGAATGGATCTGAAAGTCCAACTTTCCCAAGGAAGAAAGAGACACCAAGAGGTGTTTACCTAAAAGTGACACACGTTCGTGCTGTGTAAACCTCGGTTCTTAAACATTGAGAGGTTTCCACTGATTTCCTCTGTTGAAACTATATTCACATCGCCCAATTTAAATGAAAGTCTTGAGCCAAGTTAACTTCTCTGAAATTCTGTGGAAGGGGAAATCCAGGCATGCCTCACAGGCCTCCACAGCACTCCAGGCAGCCTCAAAGAGACATGGGATGTGGCCGAAGGCTCTTAAACAGCAGAAAGTCATGGGAATCACGAGGGATCTGGTGGGTGATGAGAGAGGGTAAGGCGCCAGCCAGCCCCAGCTCACTTCCCGCAAGTTGGTGGAGGGGGGAAGGGCAGGACCTGTGTTCAGCTATTCATTATGGGTGGGGTGCAGGGCTCTTAAGCGTTAGTCTGTGGCCACCTCCCCTGGGACAGACCTGTCAGTTCCCTCCATACCCTAGAATGTTCCATGGCTGTTGAATCCCAAGAGGTTATAAATTTAACAATTTATTCTTAATTTTTGATGGTACTAATTTAAACAAGCTTTGCAAATTTCAGTCGAGGATGTAATCAGTCTGAGCCCCTTAAACTTCAGAAGTAACTTAAGCTGTCACTCTCCACGTTCTAGCCCCTATGAACACTACTGGTTCTATTACTTTTCTTTTCATGGGGAAAACAAATTCATTCAAAATCATTCAAACAAAAACTCATCCAACAAATTGAGCTAAATAATAAATTTGTAAAGTATTGTAGGATTTCACTTTACCATGAGAAATATGGCTGTAACGGGAAGAAAACGTTGCCATTCAAAGGTATTTGTTGGAGCACCTGGGTGCCTCAGCTGGTTAAGCGACTTTTGATTTTGGCTCAGGTCATGATCTTGAGGTCATGAGATGGAGTCCCACATGGAGTTCCACGCTGGGTGTGAAGGCTGCTTAAGATTGTCTGTCACCCTCTCCCTCTGCCCTTTCCCTGCGCACGTGTGCTCTCTCTCAAAAAAAAAAATATATTCTCCAATAAAACTGGAAATATATACATACATATATAAAGCCACTTTGGATAATGACCTAAGAATGGAGAGTGGAGTGGACTCCAAACCTTCTTTTTTTTTTTTTTAATTTTTTTTTTTCAACGTTTATTTTTGGGACAGAGAGAGACAGAGCATGAACGGGGGAGGGGCAGAGAGAGAGGGAGACACAGAATCGGAAACAGGCTCCAGGCTCTGAGCCGTCAGCCCAGAGCCTGACGTGGGGCTCGAACTCCCGGACCGCGAGATCGTGACCTGGCTGAAGTCGGACGCTTAACCGACTGCGCCACCCAGGCGCCCCCAAACCTTCTTTTTAAAGTCATAGGGGGACACCTGGCTGGCTCAGTCAGTAGAGCATATGACTTTTTAAATTTTTTTATAATGTCAAGTTAGCTAACATACAGTGTATACAGTGTGCTCTTGGCTTCAGGAGTAGATTCCCATAATTCATCACTTACATGCAACACCCAGTGCTCATCCCAAGTGCCCTCCTCAATGCCCATCACCCATTTTCCCCTCCCCCTACCCCCCCCATCAACCCTCAGTTTGTTCTTTGTATTTAAGAGTCTCTTATGGTTTCCTTCCCTCTCTATTTGTAACTATTTTTCCCTTCCCTTCCCCATAGTCTGTTAAGTTTCTCAAATTCCACACGAGTGAAATCATATATCTTTCTCTGACTTATTTCACTTAGCATAATAGCTTCCAGTTCGATCCACATTGTTGCAAATGGCAAGATTTCATTCTTTTTCATTGCCAAGTAGTATTCTGTTCTATTTATAAACCACATCTTTATCCATTCATCAGTGGATGGACATTTGGGCTCTTTCCATAATTTGGCTATTGTTGAAAGTGCTGCTATAAACATTGGGGTACATGTGCCCCTATGCAACAGCACTCCTGTATCCCCTGGGTAAATTCCTAGTAGGAGCATATGACTCTTCATCTTGGGGTTGTAAGTTCGAGCCCTGTGTTGGGTGTAGAGGTTACTTAAAAATAAAATATTTTTTAAAAAATGTTAGGGGCTCCTGAGTGGCTCAGTCATTTGGGCATCTGACTTCGGTTCAGGTCATGATCTCAAGGTTCACGGGTTCAGGCCCCACATCAGACTCTGTGGTGACAGCTCAGAGCCTGGGACCTGCCTCAGAGTCCGTGTCTCCCTCTCTCTCTGCTCCTCCCCCACTTACACTCTGTCTCTCTCTCAAAAATGAATAAACATTAAAAAAAAATAAGTCATAGGAACCAGACACTATTGTCATTTATAATCTCTTACAAGAAAGGGCAAGAGTTGAGGCATGCAAAATGAACCCTTCATTTCAAAAGGTAAACCACTGAACTGCTATTAAAAAGATCAAGGCACTCAAGAGGATGGTTGGGGAGAATGGTGCATGCAGGGTACTTCCTAAGACTTGGCTGGGAATTACACTGGGAGCAGGGGAGCCCTCTTCACTCATTCATTAGTGATGAATGTCAAGACAAACTTATTTATATGGGGAGTGTAGTTTATTGGAATGGAAATTGTTCTTGAGGTTGACAGCATTTTTAGGACAATTTTCAGAATCCTCAAAATACTTTGCATTTTGCTTTGCTTTAGCTCTTCATTTTGGTCTGGAACAAATTATTGCACATCAATTAATCTGCCTTTTCCAGAACTAGCTCCTTAAACACAGCTGGAAGAATATCAACTAAACTGTTAATAGCCCTCAAAACAAAATAAAAGGAGACTCAGAATATTTAATGTGAAAAAAAATGGACCAGGGTGAAATGATAATTCTGTGTTTCAAGTCTCAGGTCGAAATACTTCCAAACATAAAACATGGTTATTCTTTTTTTTTTTTTCTTTTTTTTTTTTCTTTTTTTTTTTTTGAGACAGAGCACGAGCAAGGGAGGGGCAGAGAGAGAGAGGGAGACACAGAATCGGAAGCAGGCTCCAGGCTCTGAGCTGTCAGCACAGAGCCCGACGTGGGACTCCAACCCACGGACTGTGATATCATGACCTGAGCCAAAGTCAGATGCTTAACCGGTTGACTGAGCCACCCAGGTGCCCCTAAAACACGGTTACTCTTGACTCAAGCTTTTGCTATTCTCTGGAAAATACATAATGACCTGTCCTGCCTAAATTCCCTAATGGTTATGAAGATCACTCCTTGTGAAGAACACAATATCCATGAAAGGGCGGAGCCAGGGAGAGTGAGATCCTGAGCAGGGTGTGTACTAGATGCTTTCATTTA